ACATTTTGAAAGCAGCCAGCCAGCCCCAGGTCCCCAGGGGTGAGGAAATGCCAGGCTCCGGATGTAGTACGGGCAGGGGGAGGGGGACTGTTTGATAAAACAGTCATCTCTCTGATTACCTGATCATCTCTGTCAGCAAGAGGCTGGAGAGACAGGCAGCAGGCTGAATAAGATGGGGGGAGGGTGGCAGAGGACATCCCACCTCCCCCAGGCTCAAGACCCTCCCTCACATCTACTAAGGACTGGACGACCAATGCTTAATTAGCATCTGAAAATAGACATTCTGCCCTTAAGGCGGACACCCTTTCCCCCTTTAGGAAAGCAAACCAGGCAGGTAAGGTGCTTAATGAAAGGGAAGCTGAGGGGCACCTGGGTGGCTCAGTCTGACTTCAGCTCAGGCCAGGATCTCACAGTTTGTGAGTTCAAGCCCTGTGTCGGGCTCTGTGCTGACAGCTCAGAGCCTGGAGGCCGCTTTGGATTCTCTCTCTCTCTCTCTCTCTCTCTCTCTCTCTCTCAAAAATAAATAAACATTCAATTTTTTTTAATTAAAAAAAATAAGAAGGGAAGCTGAGAAGGGCTTGATTCAAATCCTGAGGTTTTGCAGGGAGAATAGACCAATGGCAGTTTCTCAAGTCACTTTCCCAGGATAGCATTTGCACTTAAGAGGGTTACTACGTAAAGGGCCTTTAGAATGGTGTCAAAATTCAATGTGTCCCCGCTGGTATTAACGCTAAAGACAACCTCAGAGGTTCAATAATGATCCTTAGCAAGAAAAAAAAAAAAAAAAGGCAGTGTATGAGCCACTGCTATTCCTTTTACTAGAATACCTTTTCCTACTTCCTACTAGGCAAACTCCTACATGATCTTCAAAACCCAGTTCAAATGTCCCTTCTTTAGGTAAACCTTTCCTGATACCTGCTGAGGTATTTATGTTCCCCAAGTGTTTTGTGTCCCTTTGTGTTTTAGATTAATTGCGCTGTATCTGTGTCTGTCTCCCCACATTTGTCTGCGAAGGTCTTAAGGGCAGGGAGGGCCATGTCTACTCATCTTTGCTTCTACCAGAGCTGTGCACATGGCAGGCATGGGGTGAATGTTTGGTGATGGGTAAACTGATCCTTTTAATCCACCAGCACATGCCAGATACAATTAAAGATGAGAATTAGAATCACACCCAGTGTTCCAGGGACTTGGGTCTCACTGGCTATGCCCACTGCTGAACCAGACTGTTAGCAAGAGAAATAACCACTAGATACAGATTGACATTTCAGCCTCCTGAGACTGGTTTAAGAGAAGGTGCTTCTGTGGCTGATTTTACTTGAATTCGGACAAAGGAGAGAATCAAGAAGGATGAAGCAGACCTCACTATTCCTTTGGGGAGCTAATAGTCTTCTGAATCAGGAAGTTCTTTCTCTTGTCTAACCGGCATCTGCCCTGCTTCACTTGGACTCTGTTGCCTTTTGCCGGGTCCCTGGGGAAGATGCGGACCAGCTATGCTTCCACTTTCTGCTGTCTATTCCTGACTCACGAAGGCAGGTAGCGGCCGGGTCTCTCTTTGTGTTATTAACAATGCCCCACAGATGCCTAAAAAAGCAGCAAATGTGGGTTACAACTGGGAGGAAGGAAGCCGATCCCAGGAGCTCCAGGTAAAGGGGCTTTGAGCAGGTAGAGAAGAGACTAAGCACATACGCCGATCTTTTAGGACAGGACGAAGAACGTTACGTTTTTCTATTAATTTGCTCAGCCTGGGAAACATTTCTCAGCACTATGCCTATGGAGATGTCTAGCAGGAGGTAACAGGGCTGCTTCCTTTAGCTCTGGGGCTGGATTCCAATTTAACCAGGCGCTTGGATCTCTGTCCCCTTCAGCTGTATTTCTGAGAGGCATACGAACACTGAGTCTCAGACAACTGAGCCAGGATGATCTCGCTGGCCAGTGGTTTTGGGATCACGGACGACACCAAGGATTTGCTCATGATAAAGGAGTGAATGTACATCCTAACCACTGCTGGTCTGTATCCCATGCGTCCAGGGGCTCCCAAATTCTAAAACTGCCTGGCTGCCTTCATCTCAGGAAGATGCAGTCTTTTCTTCTCTCTTTAGCACCTTCTCTACTTCTCCAAGCAAAGGGAATTGCCATTTCGAGGGGGCCCTGAGACAAGGTCTCACAGCACCTCTCCCTGATGGCTACGCACTGAGCACTTACTTGAGTCCCCCACCCAAATTCATATGTTGAAAGCTAACCCCCAGGTCGATGGTATTGGGAGGTGGGGCCTCGGGGACAGGATTCGATCACAGGGGTGGAGCCCCTATGGAGAGGATTAATGTCTTATAAAAGAGACCCCAGAGAGATGCCCCTTTGCCTTGTGAAGACACAGCGAGCAGACACCTGCCAGAAACCAGGAAGTGGGCTCTCATCAGACACTGAATTGCCTGTGCCTTGATCTTGGACTTCCCAGCCTCTGGAGCTGTGAGAAACAAATACCTGATGTTCGTAAGCCACCCAGTCTATGGAATTCTGGAAATAAAGCAGCCTGCCTGACCTAAGACATGTGATCATTTCATCACAAAGCTCCAAAAACGGGGTGGTCAGCGGTCCTATTAATCACTCTTGCCTTGTTCCCAACATTGAAAACCCCACTACTCAGGCTTGGCGTTCGAGGTTATGGCTTTCAAGCTGTGACTCTCTAACCGAGGTGGACAGCATGAAAGGAGATGGCTCTCGTCCTGCCACTGCCCCGATTTCGGCAGTGACTTTAAGGGTCTTTCTAGTGGGGCCAAGGCTTCCTCTGCTTTGTCTCTGTGAGTCAGATCTCGGGGGTTACTGCAGACCAGCGATTATAAACTCCCATACCTGGAGGGGACAGGTAGGAAGCTAAGGTAAATCAGCAAGGCAGCCTGGCTAACTTCAAGACAGATGTATAGTAAGCATGAAAGAATATTCTTCATTGTTGTAAGACACGAAATCTTCCTCGTGTCTCCTGAAACATATAAATCTCTTGGTCTAACTCTAACTGCCGCTTATCACAAAGTCATGGATGTGAAAATATTTCCCTTTCGTCCTAAGAAAATAAACAGCATTGATGTTATAAAAGGTGACAACAGACAACAGCCTTAACAAGAGGGATGTGATATGGAGTAGCGGGGATTGAGACAAACTAGGGAGTCCTTGCTCTGTCTAGAGGGACAGCTGCTGCTCAGTCCATGCAGATTATCGTCCCGTTAGAACACAGGCTCGAGGTGGTCAGATTGTCCACATTTTGTTAAGAGAAGCTGTGATTATGATATTTATATAAAATTGCAAAACACCGGCAGTAGATTCAAAGTACAGATATAAATTTCTCTTAGGACGCTAGAGTGCAGACCTAACACTTCATGTCCATAGCCTGGATCTAGCCTGAGGCTGCCTCTTTCTGTCCTTTTTGTCTTGGGAGGGTCTGAATTATGCCAATACCCCTTTATTGTAAGTTAAATACAAGAATTCCTTGTACAAGAATACAAGGAAAAATGCTAACTTTTTTGTTCATTTAATCATGAACGGAAAGTAGTCCCCTCCTGCTCACAGAGTGGCCCTGACTTTTGAGGACAGCATAGCAGAAGTCTACGATGCTGTTCATCTTCCAAGCATTCAGAGGTCACTGCAAGAGAGAGAGGAACTGGCCGGTGGGAGCACGGCTCTGACCTACCGCAGACCCGTGACATCCTTATCTTCCTGGCCAGCTATCAGCAGCTGAGGAAAGCAATCCCCACCGAGGCTCTGGAATGTCCCATCCCCCCCTGAGGCTACACAGAGAGGCTCTGGGTCGTTGCTCAGGTGAACTGGTGGTAGTGAAAGGTGCCATCCACATACACGCATCAGAAGACAGAATTTGGCAACCTGCCCGATGCCGTCCAGGGCTTGAGACAGATGGAGAGAAGAAGGTGGCCTGCTGAGTGACCTGGGCCATCTCCCGGTTCTGACCTCGCATTTGTCATTCCGGCCTATACTTTATTGCAGTGCAGAGGCTGGGTGGGAAATTCATATGCTTTAATGGGGTTGCGCTGGCCTGGTCCGTTAGCAACGGACCCGAGAAGGTAACAAAAAGGCACTGCTGATCTCTGGCCAAATCTATCCGTGCTCAGAAACAGTATTGACTCAGCTGTCAAAACACATCTCCGCAAACTGGCAAAGACTGAAAAATTCGGTAATACGTTAGGTTGGCAGGGCTGTGGGGAAACCACCACTCTCCTGCTTGGCTGGTAGGTTTGGGACAATCTTTACAGTGAGCAATTTCTCAATGTCTGCCAAAACCACAAATGTATGTAATGTTGGACCCAGAAATTCCACTTCTAGGAATTTATTCTATTGAAAAGTCTGTCCATGTGCCACAGCAAGGCATTTATGGGATGTCACAGCAAAATACTGGCAGTGACTGAAGTGTCCATTATGGAGGATGAGCTCAGTAAGTACGGCGGAGCGGTGCGATGGAATATTATACAGCCATGAAAAAGAACCAGGACTCTCTTTGCCCACTAATGGGGACTCATCACCAAGATACGGCGGTAAGTGAAAAAAGCAAAGTGCAAAGCAACATGTATAATGTGCTCTCACTTGTGTGAAAATAATATGTGTGTGTCTTCGTCAGTCTATGCATAAAGTATTGCTAAAAGGACCACAGAAATGATGACTATTGCTTGCCTCGGTGGAGGGAAACCGTGTGGCTGGGATTAGGGGAGAGAAGAAAACTTTTTACCACGTGTCTTTACCTTCTAAATTTGGAGTGCAAATGGCATGTGAGTGCCTTTCTTGGTGGAAACAGAATTACATTTGAGGTACAGCAAGATTACAAACAAAACAAAACAAAGGCAAAATCCATATCCCAGGATACACACTCCTGGCCTCAACGCCCCTCAGCCATGGTGGCTCATTTCCATCCCCACATGGCTGGCCATTTGGCATCCCTCCCCCCATCTTCACACCGGAGAAGGGCCACGGACCGCGGGTAGAGTGTGAGAGCCACTTACCTGCTCCTTCTCTGAATACGGGTTGTTGAGGACGACAGGCACGTGGCCCTTCCCCCACAGGTCACTGAAGACTCGGTCATTCTCCACGCCCAGGGGCAGTGGCTTGTGTGACTTGCCATCCATACCTCTGAAAGGCAAAGCAGGGGAAGTGAGAAAGGCGAGACATCAGGAACGACAGGCCGGTTGCCCTGCCCTCAAAGTTCCGAGTCTGTACAGAACCTCCATGGTTCACCCACGTGACTCTATGTAGAGCCAGCAAGCTGTGGGTACCCAGCGTGCCCCTCGGTAGTATCGCCAGCAACACGTGGGAAGGCAGCCCCGTGGTCAAGCACAAGGCGCACTGACATCGGCACCGATGGGTGGCGTGCACCCACCGTGTGGACATCCCTTCAGAATGACCATGACGGGGCTTTTGCCCCTCCCTCCCCATTTCAAAGACCTAGGAACGCAGAAAGCTCATCTTCCTGGCAGACCCCCCTGGACAACTTAATGCCCACAGATAAGATAACAAGTCCTGGGGTCCAGGGTGATAAGTTATCTCAGTGCTGAATAAAGACAGATAATAAGGCAAATGATACCAGCCCAAGAGAAACAGAAATGATTCTGAAAATGAGGGGAACAGAGCAAAAAAATAAAATACCATTACGAATGATAGCTAGTGTCTACTGAGCATGTATTGTGTGTCAAGCACTTTACAAATGTTTTAATTTAATCCTCGTGACAACTCTGTGAGGTGAGTGTGAATATTAACCACCATTTTATAGACGGTGTAAGTGAGACAAAGGCTAAGATGCTCAAGGTCACAGTTTTTCCGCCCACTCTTCACATCCGTTCTGAAGTGGGGGCTCTCATTATTACCATCCATCAGCATCATTATCATTACCACCACTCCTGTCACCATCATCATCACCACCATCACCACCATCACCATCATCACCACTACCACCATCATCACCATCATCACCACCCCCACTATCATCACCATCATCATCACCATCACCATCATCACCATCACGATTGCATCATCACCACCATCACCACCACCATCATCA